AATAACGCCGTACACGATGAATTGCATTATTGCCCTGTTGATGGCCATGAAATTCTATAGAATCAAAGTAGGGATTTTATGTTATAAATAGAAATAGAAAGGCTGAACCAAAATTGGACGGCCGAAGTAGGGCCGCCAAAGTTGTTTTTTTTAAGTTGTTTTTTTTGCGGCCGTTGGCGGGGTAAATAGTAAATGGAGAGGCCATAGAAGGCCGAATCAAAATTGGACGATCAAAGTAGGGACGCAAAGAGGGTGCAACGGTTTTTTGCGGCTATTGGTGGGCCGCAAAAACTTCAGAAATAACGGCCCGTACAAACAGTCCAAACCCCAAGGTAGAGGGATATTATGTTATAAATAGAAATAGAGAGGCCGTAGAAGGCCGAACTAAAATTGGACGGCCGAAGTAGGGCCGCCGAAAAGGGTGATTTTGTAAAGTGATTTTTTTGCGGCCATTGGTGGGCCGCAAAAACTTCTGAACTAACAGCCCGTACAAACCGTCGAAACTTCAAGATAGAGGGATGTTATGCTATAAATAGAAATAGGGAGGCCATGGAAGGCCGAATCAAAATTGGACGGTCCAAGTAGGCACGCCAAAGAGGGTGAAGTTGTTGTAAAGTTGTTGTTTTGCGGCCGTTGATGGACCGCAAAAAAACTTCTGAACTAACAGCCCGTACAAACCAAAGAAAATTCAGAACAGCTGAATTATATTTCTTGAATTATTCGTTAGATTTAGCATAATTTATTGATTTTAAAGTCACAGGTGATGGCTCATCGGAACGTAGAATTATTGTCAAAAATGCTTATTTTCTCGTAAATGTTGCTATCGAAGATGTGGTAAGCCAAGTGTGTTTTATAGACCAATGAAGTGAACGAATTTGAAGTGGGTGTACGCTTTTTGGATGAACTTGGCCAATACTATCTGGAAATGAAACAAAAAGATATCAAGCATGCGGTGGCCGGCCTTATGGTTGAAATCCTTCTTCCTGTTGCTGCCGTAAGTTACGATAAAATTTGAGTAAACATTTTTTGGAATTTTTGGGTTTTTCGGGCTCTTTTTTAGAGGGAGGGGGTTCTTTTTTTGGGTTTTTTAAGCTTATCGATACACCATTCTTCAGTCGGAATAATTATGCGGGTGTTTCCAGCTATTTTGGGTGGAAAAGCCGTTTTGTTGGTAATCTCTTCGAGAGGCGAAACGAAGCTCAGGATCCGCAATAAAAGCAGCTAGAGCGCTAAAATTTTCTGAGAATCGCCCACGACCGTGACTGATTAAGCGATCACGCATAAAAACAACTTTTACGTTTCCCCCTCACGTACGAAAATGTGAAATTTGACGCAGGGACAACCGGAAATGTTGTCACCTATGTAACTAGGAGATTTAACTATGGATTGTATAGTATTTAAATTGTTTCGATGAGATTTGAAATAGTTTTTTTTTTCT